TTTAGGGCACTTCAAGAAATCCTAGGGAAAAAAAATTGTAACACAATTTTAGATACAATAGAATTTAAACACACAAATGTAAATGGTTTATGTTTAAGTATGATACTAAGTAACTAGGATATAATTAGTTACTTAGTGATGTAATGGAACGAAAGCACAACAAAAGAAAAAAACATAGAGTATAAGAAAAACAATATAGACATGATATTCTTGTTTTTGTTTTTATTTTATGATGGATATAAATGGATTTAGAGAATAATCGAAAGAATAAATATGCAAAGATAGATTATGCAAGATAATAAGATCTATTTAAAATCTAATCTTTGATACCAAATGATACGAAACCTATATCAACCAATCTGATCAAAATTCCAACATAAAATTTAGGATAAAAACTTAATCTCTAAATAAATCTTTCATACTTAACTCGCAATTAACCTGTGATTAAAAACTAAGATAACTAAAAAAAAATCAATAAGAGCTGAAAAAAGCCAACGAGATTAACTCGATAAGTAGAATCAATTCTTTACTCAACAAGAAAGTTGAAGAATCCTCTCAAAGAGTACTCACAATAGCCAAAAACTAAAGTTTAAAAAAAAAATTCAAATTTTATTGATTTGACTTGATGTCTTTATAACCAAAGTAATGAGACCTTTATATAACCATAAGCCTTACTAATTCGAGTAAAACTCAAAAACTAAATCATACGATAATTAAAGTTAAGTAGAACTCTTCTCTCTTGAATAACGTAGGATTCCTTTAGAAACTGTGCTGAGTGAAGATTGTCACGTCTTAATTGGATTTGGACTTCAATAATTAATTAATTTTTAATGTAGAATTTGTGTTGAAGATAATTTACGATGCAACCAAGCTGAGGTAGACAAGAAATCCTTTACTTTGAGAAAATCAAGGACTATCAACCATGATGAAAAAATCAATGAGAAAATTAAAGAGAAAACCTAGAAGAAAATCAAAGAGAAAATTGAGGATAAAATAATGTGATCCTAGATGACATGAATTATTCAAGGGACTTCATATAGCATGGAAGTCACGATAATATCCATATATCCAAAGATCCTCACAGTTTGGTCCAATTAAATGCAATTGAAGAGTCCTCAAGTCGGTGAACCTTAGGATTTCACATTCCTTTTACAATTAAAAGTTAATCACTCACCTTCGGAGAGTCTTATATGAGTTTGGAGCATATTTTACATTTAAAATTAAAAAATTTTATCCCTTAAATCTTATTGGGATACCACATTATCCAAACTGCCCACTTGAATATAATCTTTATCATACAGTCTCTTCATCAAAATGTGGAGTTCAACTTCGAGTCATATTTGGAATTCGTGAATCTTAATTCAAGTGGATTTATGTATAAGTTTCTTTTAAGGAATTTGAAGTTAATCTTGCAAGAATTCTAATCGGTTTTATCTTTATAAATTAATATTTTAAAGGAGTTAGAATCATGTTTAAAGTATGAAATTTCAAAAGGATAGGATTCCCCTTCATGGTCGATTCCAACAAGAAGAAGTTGTTTCTATACTCAAACATAGTTGGATTTCTCCTAGATTTTCTCATAGAAGTGAGGAATTATTTTGTACTTCAACTTGGAAGCTTTTAAGGCATCTTCAACACAACTTCTTCACAAAAAATTAATTAATTAATGAAGTCCAAA